AATAGACTGTTCGTTAAACGTCAGAGTACCGCCGCATCGTAGCAATCCTACAATATTGTTCACGTGAATCCGCGACTTCGGGGGCAAACATTCATTTCCCAAGCGTTTACAACGGTCTCGTCGGATCGGCTGAGGTCATCGGTGCGGTTTCTCGTTTATTTATTCTTGTCCACCCTTTTCGGGGCCATCCGAGTCGCTTCTCCTGCGGGAACATCTTTCCTTTTTCCTGGTCGCGTGACTTTGTTTCAAGTTTCCAACCACGTACCAGCCAAACCGCACGATACGTCGAGCGGTAGCCCATGCTCGCTTTTACGAGTGCCTCTGTCCGAATAAAATTCGACTGATCGTTCAAGGTTATTTATCTCATTCGCGGCGTGGTCCCGTTTATCTTCATCACCCCCTGCGCCCTTTCCGTTTTCTTATTTCAGAGGATCGCATATAGGTTTCCCGCTACGGGGTTTTTCGGTTAAAACGAGATGAACGCTTTGATTAATGATCTCCAACCACGGAATCACCGTCCTTGGCGATTTCGCGCAGTCTTCGGAATCTTATTTACCTTGCGCACCCCTTTATGCGGTCTTCGCGAAGCTGCGAATCGTCAAGTTGATGGGATTGTAGTTGAATATTCGCTTTTGAGAGTATGTTTGCAACAGTGGAAACAGTCACCGAAAGAGTTTTCTCTTTCAAAGAAGTTTCACATTGAATTCGTCATTTGCAATTGAGAAAAATGAAACTTGAAACGCACGAAATTGTCCAGGTATTTGTGCTGCGGTGAAATGATATTGGTGAATTAGAATAAAGTGATTATAAAATCACTGAAACAGGGAGGGAAATATTCGAAATTCAACGAGTTTAAATAGATTTTATCCACTCACAGTATTTCAAACTTCTCATCGGCGATACCAGCGCAATCAATTATTCAAATCCGGTGAAACAAAGATACAAATATTTCAGATACCACAAATCTAAATCACTTTTACCAATTAATAATTCACAATTCACGATCTACCGAAATTAATACAAATATTCCCATCCTTCAATAATTAAGATCATTCGCGGAAAAGATTGTCTTTCCTTTGCAACCGGTCAGGTTTACTGCAAATGCTCACCGCAGGCGGGCAAATGAGCGAGCATTTCGTTTGAGAAATTCGTCTGTCTTCGCGAGCTGCAGAGACAAAAGCTTAGGGCAGAATTATTTCTTCGAGCGGGCGGCGGGGGAGCGGACGCGGATAAAGAAAGAAGCTGGAAAAGGGACGAGGACGCTCGAAAAACGTTTCCGTGGAACGGGGTCGACAGGAAAACGTCGCGATCCCGCGCTCGCCGAGGTGTCGGCCCGTGTAGTACGTTACGCTTTATTAACTCGTCCGTTCCGTGCTCCACCCCCGATTCCTTCTCGGCACTTCCAACGAATCGAGTGAACCAAGTCGAATATGCGTACCCTGAGCCATTGTTTTATAGTCCCGTTTTAGAGCCGGTTCAACTCGTTCCTGATAATCGAGGCGTTTCGAGTGAAATTGGAGGTATATTATAGCAATTTTCGTAAACGAAGTATTTTTTTGAAGTTTATCAATTTTAACAATTATCGCATGAAGAATATTATCGAATAATTTTTAGTCAACTCTAAGCACGCAATAATAATAAAATCGCAAAATTTTGACAGTGATACTGCCGACTGGAGTAATAAGTGTAAAATTGTTTTTTAATTACGTGAAAATTCATTTTTTCGAAAGTTTTGTTTTATGGAAGGAAAGCTTGCAACGGATGGTCTCAGAGTGGAGTGATTGAAAGTATAATTAATGGACTTTTGTGGTAATTGGATGGTTATTTTTGAGATAATTTAAGTTGATGACAATTGAAGGTTTTAGATAGTTGATTAGTTAAGCAGTTAGTGTTTTATTGTGAATATGGTCTGCAACTGCTTGCACAATCATGTTAAAATTATATCAGACACTTTTCACGGTGAGAATTCATACTGCAAAATGTTCCAGCTGACAATTCTAATTATAAATTTCTCTGGAGTCCGGTTCATCCAGTTAGAACGAAGTAGGGTGAACTTCGGTTAAAGCATTAATCAGTCGAGCGTGTATTACCTTCTGAGGTAATTATTACCTCGTCACTCGTTATATTATCAATTTCCGTGAGCAAAGTGAACGGACGATAACTGAAAACTGTTAATGCTCATTCGGAACTTCAGCGTTGAACGTGCCCGTTAAAATCCGAGGTAATTGCGTACGAAATATTAGAGACGGAACACACTGAAAACTATGTATTCAGTTAATAAATTCTGACGGAAGTTTGGACGGTTCGAGCAACGCGCGATTGTTATGAATTCACTGAAAATTCAGTCAAACAAGATCCTCGAAAATCTGCCCTTCTATTTCCAACAAGAGCCTCTTTGGGACAGAATCGATAGGAAAGGGGATGAAAGTCCGACAATTCTGAGGGATTGGGAAAGTTCTTGAGAGCACTTTCGCGAAGCCTCATTGGGTGTCACGGAGAAGTCGTTTAATGAGCAACCCTCCTCTTTAGAGGGCTCCGGAGCAGCACCGAAACGGAAAGGCGTCGCTCGGGGATCAAGAATTTCAACTGAAAATTTTTAATCACTCTTCAAACACGGATCTTCGATTTTTGTTACCATAACTTGAAACGTTCATTTGAAGTTCCCATGAATCTTCTCTAACTTTACGGGCAATTCAAAAATTAAATTTCTACTTTACTATTGACTGATCACATATTTTTCGTAAAACAATAATTATTTTAGGTAATTGCGAGGAAACTCGTTGCCGGAAGAATGTATTTGAAAAGGGAATTTTATAAAATGATTTCTAACCTGTCACTTCTACTACAAATACGATAGGACAGTTTTTTAAATGAAACAATTTTGTTAGAAACGAAACAACGTTGTTTGATACAGGAATTTCCGTTAGTAATACTAAAGTCGAATATAAATATAATTCTCAATTTCACGCGAAGTAACATGATGTCGAGTCACCAATTTCCCGTCGACCATTTCGGCGAACTGTGAAATTTCCACAAAATGGCCGAACATTCCAGCTACATTCAATTTTCTTAATAGGCACACACACGCGCAGCTCGGCCCGCGAGAAGTAGGCCCACGCGTTCTTTGTTGTGTTTGCATTCGTTGGCCTGCGATCGATATATCAATTGTGTGCACGACCTTACGTATAGTTTCAGATAAAATTGGACGTGGCGGGGTGAAGGTCGATCCCCGTTTCCGTGCGAGCGATCGCATTTTTCCCTGCGAGGGAAATCGAATCGGGCTGCATTCCTTGTCTGTGCATGCTAACGCGTCGGTCGTCTGGAAACTTTTCCTTTCTTTTGCTTACCTTCTTATTACCTGTCCCTCTATTACGTAACCGGAGACATAACATTGCTGAGCAGAAGGATAAATACGTTTCGAAGGCAACAATAAAGTATATACATGTAATAAATACACAATTTCACCAATTTTACCAATTTTACCAATTACAGAAATATAAATAATTTGTTATTCAATTAGTTTCTATTTAAAGGAAGAAAAAAACAATAAAGACTACTGTCAGCAATCATATATTAATATGAATTGTAGCTAATTCACACGAGGAGGTACCTCCTTCGAAGTTTAATACACAACTTAACATTTCATTTTTAATAATTTCAAGATGCTCGAACATGTAATCGTGCAACAAAGGAAAGCTTAAGCTATTACCATAAATATCGGGAAACGAATAATTCCCAGGAATATTGAACGACTTGGCAAACCGAATACCATACACCCTCCTCAAGCCACTTTGCTCGGAGCTGAACTTCCCGAGACAATAGAACTGCAATACCGAACTTCCGGAAACTCCGCCTCCTAAAACATACTCGAAGAAAAGTGGCGACGACCATTAGGCAAGGAAATTCGCGAGCCCCGCCGCGGAGCTCCTCGCCGCTTATCCGAAACGATATTTCAATCTGCGCGGACGTCTCGAAAGTTCCCGTTGAGATCCGAAACAATGAAACGAACAAGCGCTGTGCTGCGTGGGCTTGAAGCGGGGATCTCTGACTTCGCCCGGCGACCCATTTATTCGAATCACGTTGCGCGTAGACGCGCGGAGAAGCGGGGGAAAATGCTGAGAGCCGATCATTACTCGCTGTTTCGGGGAATACCTTTGGCGGTGTTTTAAGAAAATTCGAATCCGTTGGAAATACACGAACAATCTTCATTTTTCATTCTGTGACACCTGGACGCTATAGGCTAGAACTGATATGGACTGAAATTGGTCTCGTTGGTATTGCACTGTTGGGTTTCTTACGTCTTAACCAGTGGCGGCTCGCGTATAGGCACTGTGGAACTGCAGCAGCCTCAATTTCCACTTGATATTATCGATAACATTTAACATAATGAGTGTTTTTTTTGTTTAATTCTTTCTTTATACATAGTATGATATATATCATGTATAGTATATAATCCATAAGCGTAATGTCAGTAATCATCCCCGAGTTTATGAAAAAGATATAAACATTTTAAAACAGAGGCTAAATATTTCCTGGAGCAGCACCCCTACCAATTTTAGCTATGATCCACCACTGGTCCTGACAGCGTATTAAGATGAACAATTTTCATTTTTCTTTTTATGATACTTAGATATTATAATCTAGAGGTGATATAGACTTAGAGCGATATCCCTGTGTTATTGGTACCATAGCTGGAGGCTTTTAGTCAGGTCTTAAGCACATAGCTCTATTTGAGGGGTTCTAGAGAGCGTAGCAACCTTCTAGGCAGAAAACTCTTGTGAATATCATATTCTAATTCTACGATTAGCAAACTCCACTTTCCTTTTTCTGCAAAATGAAAACCCCAGACCCCAAAGTTTAAATCAGTTCTAGACTATCAATATGTCTTATTTTCATTACATGGCTAACTGTAACCTTGCAAATGAGTTTGATAACCTACTTTTGCGATGTTAAGAGTATCTACCAAGTTTTAATACTTTTTTCTAATTTTCTGTCACCAGGTATATCATCACATCACTATGCGACACCTGCGAGAGCAGCGATGCGGTGGTAGCCGTGGTTTTCTGGGTAGGCTACTTCAACAGCGCGCTGAATCCGTTAATCTACGCGTACTTCAACCGGGACTTCCGCGCTGCGTTCAAGAAGACGCTGGAGAGCTGTTGCGTAGCGATAGGCCCGGTACGGGATCTGCATCAGGTGCACAGGAAGCAGGACCTGGTGCACAGCAACGCGTCCTCGGAGCTGCACGTGAACAACCAGCTGAGGACTAGTGAGATGACCAACGTGCATATCGAGGCATGCATCTGAATCATCATACCTCGTAGAGGACTATTCGATCATGGACGCTGAGCGTCTTATATCAACCGGGACAATCGTCGAATCAACAACTGTTAACTTTTCATTCGTGTATAGTAGTCACTCCTGGTGGGCGAGAGTAGTCCAATTGTGTGTCTGATGGTCAGTGTGTCCGAGTATCCGAATGTATTCGACGAGTTACGTGTACTTAGCGGTCGCGGTGCGAGTCGGCTCATTAATTAGGATTCACTTGACTGTTCGACTGTTCGCGGGGCGCACGAGTGTCTGAATCTTTGCTTTCGGAAAGCTTTCTTTTTCAACATAATTGTCAGTTGCTTCTTCGGATACACTATTGTGCCACCTTATAATCGAAAACCATGGATATTAAGACATTCTTACGCGTTTATAGTTTACGAAGACTCAAAGATTTTGTATTTTTATATTTTCAACTTTTTCGCCTTTCTTCGGTACATTCCAAGGAAAGTTGAAAGGTTTTAACACGCCTGAAACTTACCACGTTGATTGCTAAGTTATTGTACCCGTTCAATCCATCAGAATTTAAAGTTGTTCGACTGCAAAGTCACCAAAGATAACATGTTGCTGCGATAATGGACTCTCTAAGTAATCTGCAAACTTCGAAACAAGATAAATCAGAAGCGAAAGGGTCAATGTAGCAATAACAAGATGGACTACTAGGTATCGTGGACATGAATAAATCATCTATCCAAACATATCGCGCCCAGAATTCCCTAGCAGTCAATATCCATTAATTTCTCAATTTTGATCGAGTCAAGTATAAGTCTGACGTAAAAGGAACCGTGGTCAAAATTATTCGGTAATGTTGCATTGAAAAATTTACTTCGGGGGAATTGCTTCACGGAGTATACACGCTATGTATCCCTATTTTTGAGGTTAGGTTACCTCCGAAAAAATGGCGGCCGCACACGTGCGGCTGGCATCGATGTCGGCCCGGCCAAGTTACACGTTATTAAAGGAGGAGGTTTAATGCCCGAGGAAGCGTCTTGAAAGGAGGAAATCTCGACGGCGCGGTCGACCTATTTTAAGGGTTGATGCCTGGCTGTTGCAGACTCTCCGTCTATTTCTGCCGGGCCGCGTTTTATCAAGCCTGCAAATGAGGCGGCCGCCCCGCTGTCGGCCAGATTGATCATCTGATTTGAGTAATATTTTAAGATTGCCTTGATAACGTCGCCCCCGGAAATTCGCGCTGCCCTCTTCATTCCCGTTCCCCACAGGGGAACAGACGAATCGGCGCCTGAATGGAAAAAGCTCCGAGCGATTGGTTGGGGATAGCGCGAAAACAATTGGCAGAAGCTCTAAATGTATCAACTTTTCTGGAACCTTTGTTTCATGTTCTTTTCAAAATTTGTATGAAGTTCTAACAGAGATTTATTTCATTCGTTTTTAAGACAAAGTATGAAAATATAAAAACTAATACATTTGATTCATTTTTGAGATAAAGAATCAAAATTGAAAATATAAAAATATAATAAAGTATTGATTAATATAATCATTGATCACTAGATTTTTACTAAATGTTACTAAAAATTGATCCACTGTTTCAATTGTTCGAGTCCTAATTCCGCGAGGAATAATCCTAAGCGTAAACCGCCAACGCGTCTGGATGCGTCGTCATTAATTAAACTTTCAATAACCCGGAACTCCGAAAGCGAACGTCACCGTATTTCCAGGAAAACGTTGCCGTTTAATTGACTAAATAAAGCAAAAGCGGCTGGCCTGGTCTAGGACACACGGTTCGCTTAATTAAAGGCTGAGATCAACCGAAGGATTTGCCTCGTAGAGGAATGAGTCCTGGACTGATGAATCTACCCGTCTATACAGAGTTTATTAACAAAGTGTCACACTTTTGTGACGACTTTTTTATTCCGCGTATAAAAGGAGAAGGTAATTTCATGGAAATTTTGATTGCGATTCAGAAGATTGAGGAATCTTGCGTATTAAACATTTCAGGGACTCCTTAACCTCTTCCGCCGGAAAAACTTTTTGTTCGAAAATTGTCAATAACGTCTTATACACATCGATGGTCTTATTGCGTTACACATACTAGATTGTTTTCAAATGCATCATTCTATACAAAATTATTAATAAACGAAAATCTCTGAATTAATTTCCATCGCAAGAGATTAGAAAAGATACGTTGCATTCGACGAAAGATTATCATTGTTGAAATTGTTACCGAGTCGGCGGCAGCGAACGTGTTAAAGTCAGACAAGGAGGAGTCGAGTGAAACTAGGTCTCAGGATTCGTGGAAAGTGTACCGCAAGCTGCCAGCGACATGAAAATTTCACCGCAAGCGTGGAAGTACAACGTGGGTCGAGGTCCACGTTGATAAGAGGAATTAAAGGATAAATGAATATCCAACGCGAAGGCAGTACAGATTACTTCGAATCTATGTGGGCTGGACTGGCGCGATTTGACTAATGGTAGAACGATAAAGCGTAGATCTACTGGTGAACGCTGCCAGTTCGATAAGCGGCGGTGGCCGTGGTCAGCGAGGTACGCCGCCATTTTGGTGACTAATGGAATCGAAGTGGGTTCTTGTCGCGGCAGTTGGCGATCGAATTATTGGTAAAGCGAAGCGAAATTTTGGTTCATTCAACAGTTCATTAACAAATTATGTTCATTACCTAGATTCCCAAAATACGAGTGACAATAATTCATTTCAGACGTTGCAGCTTCAATCAATAATAAGTTAAAAAATACCGATCATACAAATTTTATAAACTCTCACATATATTTTATTATATCTCTAAATATTTTACAAATGCACGAATAATCTCGATAAACAACTGCTGTATATTTTCTTCTAAAAATAATTTATTCAGCTCCAATATTTCAATATCCTATTGTTTCTGTAGTATACACTAAAAACTGAAACCCAGTGAAACTATTTCATCAATTAATGCATCGATAACGACCTTACACAAGTACATGTGTACCCGAAGGTCTCTTACAAATCGCGGAAGATGGAATGTACTCGGAACTGATTTAAATGAGAAATGAGTATGTTCGTCTCGAACGTTTAATAGAATTTCCTGCATAATCGAGTTTATTGTCGCAACGGAATTTCTCTGTTCCACGAAAAGCGAACGGAACGTGCACGACGCGCCGGCACGAAGAAAAGGATGGGTGTTCTGAAAAATCGTCGGCCAGGAAGAAAGACAAGGCACTTTCTTTCAATATATATCACGAAGCTTTTAAGAGCCCGCACGTATGACGACTTTAGAAATTTTAGAAACCACTCGGGAACGTACATACCTCCGACGTTTTCTTGGAGCATCGCGGAAAAGCCGGGAAACGGTTTCTTTTTTTGACGAATGAAGAAAAGTTATTGCTGCCAGACGAAAATTTATATACGGCCCGCGCGAATACCACGATAAATTTTTCACGGGCTGCGTACAACAATATAGTTGATCCTCGACGAGGCCATGCAAGTATCTAGACACTGCAGATGAAAAATCTCCGTTGCTGAAAGTTCCGGGCATTTTTCTTGAAGAGCACTTGAGGCGATTCTCTTCAAACAAGAATTATTTGTTTTCGTAAATAACCTTTTTGTCGATAAGACTTCTTTTCTCGTATCTTCTTCGAAGTGTCTTCAAATTGATGATTAAATTGTTTAGAAGTTAAATTACTTTCTTTAATGCTTATAATATTTACAATTCACTTGAGACATTAATGGAATGAACGAAAACGAAATTAATTTTGAGAAATATCGTTCGAGATTGAAACGATAAAGGCCTGGGAATCTCATAATGAAGAAGAGATGATAAAACAATCACGAAAGAACATCTGCCATTTATTTACCGCTCACCTACGATTTCTTCAAATTTCTTAAAAACTTTCTCGCAAATCTTTTAAAAATTACAAAAGGAAACAATCATTTAAACATATAATTAACATTATATTACAAATTTCTCAATCTGAACAACCTGAAATTGCTCCAGATCAATTCTATTTATTTTCAAAACGAAACTTCAAATTCTACCATAAAAGACAAAAGTTAATTACACACGGAGCCACTCGAAAAATTAAATGACTTAAAAATTATTTAACATTGCCTTTTAGTTCGCACGGATTCAAACGCGTGAGCCTCGATCGATAGAGAACGTGATCGTACGACGTGTGCCTCGTTCCGAACGTAAATATCAACAGCTGCTCGTAAACAATTATCGCGCGTGTTCGATTCGGGCCAAGTGAAAAATTAGATTGGCTCGGAGCCGTGGTACCTGGACCGAGATTTTCGCTCGGGAAAATCCAACTTCGCGGCGGATGGAGAGACTCTGCTGGGTAAACAGCGAGTACTTTCGAGAATTCGCTGATTTACGGACGGGGAAGAGATGGCCAGGCAAGGATTAAACCGGCGGACTGGCCGATTCATCACAATCAGCGCCATTACGGACACGCGCGCGAGTGCTGGCTCTGCTGGCTTCTAGTTCGTCGACGAACCATGCCAACTCTGTCCAAGTTTACCGCGCGTTTCACGGAAAAACGAGTTTCGAAAGCGTCGGAGGGCAATGGGACCTCCTTCTGAACCGGATGAGCCTGAACGGCGACCTTTCCCTTTAATTAATCCCACGCTCGAGTTCACCGGGTTTTTTGCACGCCTCATTGACCCCTGCTAATATCTAATATCGAATTTCGGTCATGGCCTTTTGCAGCCCTCGCTAATTTGGAAAGTTATTCCATAAATTTCGTTGTGAATTTCTGTGATTTTTGAAGGCTGTATAGAATTTTAGATTTTTTTTTGTAGCTTTTTGACGGATTTGATGTTCTTGATAATTTAGAAAGTTATTCCGTAAATTTCGTTGTGAATTTCGGTAATTATTGAAGTTTATACCAAATTTTAGATTTTTATTGCGCCTTTTTGACGGATTTGGTTTCCCTGCTGATTTAGAAAGTTCCAAATATGTTTCGAAAGGCACTCATTTCTTCTATAGTTGTTACTTTTTCTTTGATCTGATAAATGTAACACGAATCAATCAAAATATTCATTAAGATCAAAATATTATTGATCTTCCTTGTGATTAAATATTTTTGAATTTCACTTGTGGGTACTCTACATCATTCGAATAAATGCAAGAATTCTTCATGTCCACGATTCATCCTGAAACCCATAATGTATGTATATTCCGATGAATTCGAGATGAATTACTCCGTATTGTTTGACGAACAGAAACCTATTTGATCAGACTCGTAACCCTGTGAACCGATCTCCACGCATTTCGCAGCAGTCTTTTAATATTTCACATATATTTCGTGGCGCGAGGACGCGTGCTCGGATTCGTGGAAATCAGTACAGTTCAGCGATGCAACTTCGAATGCAGAACAATCATTAAAGTGTAAGTCTCGTGTAGCGATTTTATCGTCATCCCCCAGCAAAAAAGATATATATATATATACATATACATAAATATAAATATAATCTGTAATTGTATATTTTACAAGACGTTTCGCCTAAATTCATCGCCTAAGATATCAAAGGGTCAGGTGTACCAATGAATAATTCATTATATTTTTTAATGAACTAACATTAATATGATATTTTTAATTGGACCGTTAACTATAGCACAAGGTGAAGCAAGAAGCGATACTATGTTTCCGTGTTCCTCAGACACAAACGTTGAATTTTAGAAAAAGAAAGTTGGCTATTCATTGGTACACCTAATATCGTAACGAGTACGTCATAATTTGTTTATAACACCTGTATATTATACATTTGCTTGTGATAGGTGTACAGTGTACAATTTGTTTGTAATATATGTATATTATAATTTCAAAGTTATCGAATTTCCGTTCGAATTCGAATGATATATTTTAATTGAAAAACGTTGCAGCCGATATATTAAAGACGTCGAGTGTGTTTCGTGAACAAAAGATTTGAAGCGATATGAAACAGAAAAGGAAATTGATCGAGTCTGTTTAATATCCTTTAAGTAATATCGCCGATCGGACGCCAACGTTTCAGAGAGCAGTTTCCCAGTAATTCTCGGAAACTTACGAGCACTTCGAAACGTCCTGATATTTCATGAACCCCGTTCAGCGGTCACAGATGTTCTCGTTCAGCGGATCCTAAGTTAAGTTAATAAAGATTTTCGTTTCTATTCATCTCCCATCATTTCATCTGCGGAAATTAATAGGTCGAGACACTTCTGAACACGTTCAACGATGCAATCTATTTATCAGTCAATTATTCGACGCTAGAAGCATCGAAATAATCAAACTGATTCCTTTCTAAATTTTTCAGTTTAAGTATCTGTTACAATCAAATCAGAAATGTTTATGAATTTATACCTGATTTGATCTTCTAAGGAATTATTTTAAAATATACAACACTTAAAAGTTTCGCGATTTTCATGTCACTTTAATCGATTAATAGGAATATTAATAAAGAATATAGTTCTGCTTTCGGTTTTTTAGAAATCTTTAGGAATTCACTTATGGAAGATCCGCAATAAACTGCGCAATCGAGTTATCAAGATGAAACCTCTGTAAATAGTCGCTTTGACTTGTCGGTGGTTTTAACGTCGATTGACCGGCGATCCAAAGATGCAACGTTGAACGTGAGAGGATCGGTGTGCACCGCGAAGCTCCGAGATTATCGGGCTCCCCGTTTAACCGTTCGATCGCCAATTAAACCTGATAATTAAAGCCGAGACGTGATTTTATCGTCGCGATGCGATCACGCGGCGAGAAAGGGGCGAGCGAGTGTGTATAGTATTCAAAACGACAATAGCGGTCGGGCGGACAATTATTTTAAATAGTTCGCGTCGAAGGCGACGAGGGAATTCGACTAACTAGACCGTCGTTATGCGTAATTGGCTGTCGTGCGTGAAAGAGGTCTGGAAGTTTGTGATTAATTGTGGGCGAGTGCGCGCGGGTCGTAAGGGCGCAAGATGAAATCCTGTTTTCCCGTAGCGACAGATGATGTTATTGTACACAAGAAATACAAACTATGTATACACATTATGTATAAATATATCGATTGGTCGTTTGAAAATGTGCCGAGCTAGTCGCGTAGAGTATTAATAATAAAATTTACAAAAAAGTGAACACGCCTTGTTTTCTTCCTCACTTTTACTCTTCTTCGCTTTTTCATTTATCCCCGTTAAAAAACCGTTAACTTGAAACTATTTGAACGAAATTAGTCTATCTTTGTTCCGTGCTTCGAAATAGGACCGGTGAATTTGCAATTTTTGAATATTCTCATACGCTGCAATCACATAAATGCTGATTCTATTAACATTCTAATTCTTGTTTTGAATTCTACGGAAACAAACAACCATTCAATTATCTTCGTCGTTTTCCACAATCAATAAACTACAGAAACTTTCTCAAATCTTTATCTTTATAAGTCCCTACTTAATTAAATAATAAGCAAAATTTCCAAAATCCAAAGTATAAGGAAAATTTCAACATTCACAACATTCCTTATTTCAAGAATATACAAACTTCTATATGACTTTATGCAGAATGTATAAAAATCCACTTTATGCAGAATGTATAAAAGTCCAATAATAAACGATTACTCTTTTGTAGCATTAAAGCTTCTAGTTACCTTTTGCCACACAGTTATACGCAGACAGAACCACAACAAGCTACAAAATCGAGGGTTCACTGTGTGGAAATTCTTTTGGAAATGTCCCGTTCCCAATCTCGCTGAAATTTGGCTCGTTTGACGCAAACACCGCGTAACCGGCCTAGAAGGACTTTCCTAACACCTTGTCCAGCCGTCGAGTCGTGGCTATTGACTTGTAACTGGATAGCCGAGGCTGAGCTCGTATATTCCCGCTTTGTACCTACCTACGTACGCATCGACGTGACACATCGGCTCAGAAAGTAGTGCAATTTCGCGTCTAGTCGGCCCCCGGAGGCTCTCCCTTTGCACGGGAACAATGAACGGCTCGCTGCCGGGCCATTGTTACACGCCGCACACCGGGAATAGTCGACACCGCGGAGCATGTTAAGTCGCTTTGCCATTATCACGGAGAATTTGCAGCTGAGAGGGCTAAACAGGATATGTGCGTTGCACGCGGTCCGTTCCGGGCGCGCGTCAGCGACCGCCATCTTTGCGGGGAATTTCGGCGTCGCTCGTACGGAAAAATTGACCGCCATTTTGTCGACGCTGTGCGTACTGAAATGAAACTTTTAATCAGTAATCTGTATAGTGCATATTTCTTAACGTGAATAAATACCATCTAACAATTTTCCTCGCTTTCGAGCTCGAAACGTTAGCGATTTTCCGTTTATTTTAATTATGCACCGGAATAGGGAATATACTGTACTGAATAGTACATAAGTTAAACAACTCTCTCCATCATCTACGAAAAATGTAGATATTTTATTTTGTACTCACTAGTCATTAGAATTTATATTCTATTATGATTTATTGATTGAATAAAACGAACCAAACAAACGAGGATTGCTTCATATTTACCCATTCTTATTTTTCCATTGAATATTTATGTATATGTTAATGTAAAATCAAATAATGTTTATTTATAAATGAGTGAACAAGTATATGTATACGTAATTATTTCATGGAATACTTAATGACTTATATTTTGATTTTTGTTACGACCTAGTATTTGAATTTTGATGACCTTAAGATGCATGCTGATTAAGGAAACAAATTGCTCGGAAAGCTTTCGTTGCCAGCCTCGATGAATTTCGTACAAACCTATGTAATCGAGTTTTAGTTTGCTTTGGAACGAAAGTTCCATTTATTTCGATGTTTTCTGTAATAATTGGTGATACAATTTTTGGTATAATTTATGCTTCGAGTAAAAATTATACATATACAACGAATCTCTAATGAAATTTATTAGAAAATTCTGAGGGTATGTCAAGCAATCTTTAGCCGATGACCAATACGTCTGAGGTAACTATTCAATATTGGAGAGGGCGGTATCATTCTTGCGCAACGGATTGACGAACGATCGAACATCGAGCTAATTAAAATCGAAGCATCGGCACACGGACATTTCTTGGAAAGGAAAATCAGAGATCAGTTGACAGAAAGAACGCCATCCACGAAATGTACAGCCCCGGTGCAGCTTTGATTTACGATACCCTCCGCTCTTGAGATTAAATTCAACAGTAATATTACTTGTGGAATGACCTGATATTTCAAAGCAAGGAAATGAGTTATCGGGAACTGTGAAGCGAGATATCGAATGTAGGTATTATTAATAGATAGTCTGCGGTGGGTTTCGGTCGTATCTATGAATACGTGGAACATATTTCTCATTCATCCCCTCGACGAAGCTTCCCATTGATATTTATATTCTCGCAAGGACTTTCCAATTTCACGAGGGTGGCTGTGTCCCGCGGACTGTAGAACGAATATCCATTTTACATTATTTAACGCTTACCACTCGCTGGTGAATTTATCATTCGGACACCAGAGTTACGGGGAATTTTACACGGACTCGCTGTGAGAAATTCTACTTCTACACTTTAGATGCGTGCGACCTGCATATCGCAACTTTTGCATCAAGGCAACGCGTTTACGAGGCGTACGTTGCGCACATAATAACAGACATTTCATTACTTTAATGCACTCGTTGTAACTGTTTTAAAATTTTTAGAAAATCATGTTTTAGAATTATTTACGTTTTCCAGTACAAAAATATGGAAATGAAAACCTCATCACGATTCCAAGATTCACCTGACAAATTTGTAACCTAAATGATTTTTAGCCAACCTCGAACGTAATAATAACAAAATTCTGTCGGTCATATTGCCAGTTGGATAAGCGTTAATATAAATTAATAAAAATTGTTATCTCCAGCGTTAAAAATTCGTCCACACGTAAGCAAATTCACGAAACCATTTCTAAATTGCAAAATCATGCTTTCAGATCACTCCGATTTTCCAAGAAATAAAAATATAAAAACAGGCATCGTGATAATTTTAAGGTTCATCTGATTCGAACCGATAAACTCCGTTGCCCGCAACGCTCGCAGGCACGCGCGCACACTCTCACCGCTCGTATCGGGAAAAAATACACCTGTGAGAGCGTCTAAAGTGTAGAACAAATTTCCGTGGAACGCTTGCGAAATAAATCTCGTCCTCCTGTCTCCTCCCTCGCCCTGCCGCCTTGAACTATGAAATCTCGTTCGGTGTATACATTTTTTTTAATAAACCCCCGCACAAAAACGGAGAAACGGTGCGCGCCAGCTGCGTGACCCACATTCCGCGGCGAAAAAAAGCAGAGGTCGTGGCCTGCCGGGGAAAAGGGGTTGGCACGGGGGTGCAACGGCCGATGCACCGAAAAGTGGCAGCCGCGTGGTCGTCCGCGCGTACGATCTTTCCCCGGGACCAGCGACACGCAATTCGCGAGAATGTTCCTGTCCGCCATCGCGTTAATATTAACCCATTCCAGACGAGGATTGTTGACAGCGTTAGAACTTTTTTCGTAAAAAAATTCTATCCAATTTAATTCGATTCGATTCGATTATATTTCATTCTTAAATATTAGGCAAGAAGAAAATTACGTATCGATCTTCCGCTATTTAAATAACCAAACTCATTTCTTTTTATATTGACGACATCAGTCTTCAAAAGCTTAATAGTAGTCATGTAACCAGACATGTAATTCTGTTTGACTAATCGTTTATTGTTTTATCTGTAGAATGATTGAAAATAAAGTAATTCCCATTGCACTTTATAAGAAACGTTTTTATCTGAAAGAAAACTATATTATAATTAAGTTCAGCACTAGAAATCTTTGATATCTTGCAGACGTTTTAATTGTTATACATACAGTTATCACTACACAGGAAATTTAAGGTGGAATTTCTCGTTAAATCCTTTGTACAGATTAAATTCTACTATAAGTGATAACGATGACGCGGCATTATGTTAATATTAAACGCAGTACACGGTAACAAACGGGACACAACATTTCTGAGCTAGATCTCATTTGACGAGACATTCCTGTCGGGAATAACTGGAATCAGTCGAGCCACAGCAATTATTAATCGCGATATCGAGAAATGAATTCCGTCTGTCACGTAACGCGGAGAGTCCCTCTGTTAAGCAGAACCGACGCGAAATTTGTTTGACTCTGAAACTTTAGATGTAACCCGAATACATCGACAGCACTAATCGAAATTAATTAACACTAGAACTACTGAGCATTTAATACCATTGATGTTTAATCCCTATCAAAATTATAATGATATATTATTTTCAGTTTTTTCCAATACTCATCATACATAGTATCCAATGTTTTTAAGGTATATTGATAACATTGCGAAACAAAGAAACCAAAACCAGTCATTTTAACTGGCATGGTAATTCTAGTATTAAGCTTGTTACCTGTGCGCGTGCACGGGATGCGGTAAAAATAACTGAGCGTACCAAAAATGTAACCATTCCTCCTTTTTATGTTTGCTACACAAGAATAAGTGATACATAAAACACCGCAGTTCTTCGCGACAGTCAACCTGTTAATTGGAAGGTAATTGGACACCATTAATTTTAATTTGCAGCATTGGACTGTTAAAATGATAACCAATAAATATGCTATCTTACTATTATCATAACGCACATAATTGTCTACGCAATAAATCTCGAAAATTTAAATATTCAAGAAACGAAGAATAAAATCCTATCGATTACCTTTTCACGGAATTCCTTCATTTTCCGAGACTTCAAATTTTCAAAATTCACGCGACACGTGGTCTACGAGGCTGCACAGCAAACAGAAAAAAAAACAAAATCCCCGGTGCAACATCAAAAACAACTTCCACGGCCGACCAGGTGTTTATTAAATATTCCAACACGCGGCTCAATTCCCGAACCGTTTCACCGAGCACCGCGCGAACGACTTTATCGGATACGCAGAAGAAAATTCAGAAAGGTAATTTTCCAGGCGTGGTCGGCCCGTTCAGATAAATTGGAAACAAAGCCCAGCGTAGTTAAGCTTGTTAATTAACTGTACTCGAAGCGTCAGATTCAGTGATATTGGGTTACACGGGGAAGTAACCGGCTGCCGTCCTCAACCCG